TTTGATTTATAAATCACTTGAAAATCAATTCAAATGTGTTTTGCACTCAAAATATGTGACAAACAAAACAAAACAGCATTTAAACCGACTCTTCATATACACCGTTACGGATATAATAGCCGTACAAACAATTCATGGCAATCGCCCCTCACTTGCGTTACGGTATATGTTAAATGAATTCTTATAAACTTTATTCTGTATTAATGGCATAAATGGTCACAAATATTGTAACAAAATAACTATTTTATAAATGCCCTATCTAATATAATACATTTGTTTGCCGTTTATTTGCTGTGTATAAAGTAGCCCATCCCTCCCGGTGCTGTGTTATTCTCTGTAATACATACAGAATCCTCTACTTATGCGCCAGAATATCAATAGCCTATATACTCAAGGTCTTCATAAATCTCGTCTATTAGGAGATTGTCTATCGATTTGCGATAAGTTTTGAGATAAAAATATAATTTCGAGAATAACAGAAAATCAATGAATATTTTGCCGATTAATACCACTCTTAAGGTTAACATTGGCTCGGATTTAGTGAATAAAATGAAGTCATAATCCGTGCGCCAAACATGTATTGATTTTGCCATAAAGTGTGAGTTCAGGCAATAAAAGCTAAACCAATGGCACAGAAACTTCGAGAACTGGTTATAGAAATGCATACAAAGTGTATGTGAATAGAGTTGTAGACGTAATGCAGGAATACATGTAATAGTAAACAGTTATTGCGGTCTTAAAGGCACAGTCAGTCCACTGGACGGCGCCCTCAAAAACGTCCGCCAATTGGCGAATGACTTCATTATCTAATCTTTTATAACTTATTTTTTATCGAAACAAATGCACACAATATAGATATACTGTACTATTTTTTTTATTGAGTCTGTGATATGTTTTTAATCTACTGTATATTAATACATATGAATACACTTTTACTTTAGTGAAACAAATAAATTCCAGACATTTATCAAACTTATATTATGGCGCCGTGTCACATTTGTAATAGATTTTTATATATTTATTAAAATAAATTACAATATTTTGCTTGCTAATTAATAAAGATGTATTTTTAATAAATATTTTTATAATTTTTATAAACGATTTACAATACTGTAGTAATACAATGCAAATCAACAATGTAATAAAAAGTGGTGTCTATGTTAGGCGCCTGAGTTGGCTGATAGGCGTGCGCTAACTGTATGTTTGCAGCCGTTGTGAAAGCCTTCACTACCTTTACGTGTGTTAACTATATCTGGGTTTTCATTGACTGCAGTATTGAATAGAAAACACATTTGAAAACAAATACAAAACTCATTACAAGAAAAGCGATTAATTAGTAGTGAATTGAATTTGAATCCAATTCTAACCACAAATCGTTTGAATGTAAGTATAAGTGGTTTATTAGAAATGCATGAATCGGTTGACAATGTCTTTGCGGACAATAAATGGTTTGCCATTTGATGGCAACCGTTGTATTGACTCAACAATGGATTCTTGTATTGATTTGTATCGCAAACTAATCACTCGTTTTGTCATTCATTGAAACCATTCACTGATCGCTTGTATTGAACTGTATTTCAGAAGATAATGAGCAATACTTACGAGGAAACCATAGATGAGATGATAATTGAATTAAATGGCATAAAAGACGGTGCAATCGATTCCTCCAGAGCTGACGTCCACGACCTCCTCCAAGACGCCAGTCATTCAAGTGTCCAATCAGTCGACGGACGCAAAGTTGTGATCAATTTGAACGTATGTCACGACAGTTGGTCTCATATTGTCATTGCGTTTAACGAGTCTTTGCGTGTCTTTCAGTTCAACAAAAACAGTGAATTCATTGAGTCTTCAGTTTGTGATAAAAGTGGTGATGAAAACGACGAGCCGGACAACAGCCGGCGCTCACCTGACGGCCCCCCTCGCCGGCCGTCCAGTGGTAGCGCTTCCGACGCTCGCAGTCATAGCAGTGGTGCCAATGAGTCCAATGAGAGCGCCGATAGCTCTCAGCGGCCGTCCAACCAAACGTTCAAATGCCGGCCCACACGGCGTACGATCTCCGAGTCCTCTAACGAGGTATGCATTGATATCTTGATATCATTTACTATCACTTAACACTTCCATGACTTGTCTTAATGACAATTGAGATTAAATTGTTTGCAAATATGATGCCATTCCCGCCAAACCGGGCGTTAGATTAATCTCAATATCAGTCACTATTATCGCTATCTATAGAGTGGGCGGGGGTTTAGGGGTTTAGTAACCATTTGATGGTCACAACTACTTGTCGTTTGTTATAAACAAACGTATTCATGAATTATCTGTGTGTCTGTCCATCAGGCGATAGCGCGAGGAATACTGAAATACCCGCACAATTGGATCCGTCGCACGGTTTCTGAGTCGAGCTGTGATGTGATCGTCGAAAATGGCTCCGACTTTGATCTCCTGTTCTCATCGGTCGAAGACATCTACAGCGACGACGACATCGCCGGCGAGCACCAGATGGGCGCCAAGAAGAACGTGCGCTTCAGTGACAACGTCTCCAAAACCATATATCGGCCGAACTCTAGTATTTTGGGCCGAAAGCTGAAGAACCAAAAGCGCTCGAAAGCGCGTAAGAATTCCCACCGAAAGGATAGTTTGACGGAAAATGTGTCCAAAATGTTAAAGACCGACAAACTGGAGACCNAATCAATACATGTTTGGCGCACTTCTTGTGACTTCATTTTATTCACTAAATCCGAGCCAATGTTAACCTTAAGAGTGGTATTAACCGGCAAAATAAGCATTGATTTCCTGTTATTCTCGAAATTAGATTTTTTATCTCAAAACTTATCGCAAATCGATAGACAATCTCCTAATAGACGAGATTTATGAAGACCTTGAGTATATAGGCTATTGATATTCTGGCGCATAAGTAGAGGATTCTGTGTGTATTACAGAGAATAACACAGCACCGGGAGGGATGGGCTACTTTATACACAGCAATAAACAGCAAATAAATGTATTACATTAGATAGGGCATTTATAAAACAGTTATTTTGTTACAATATTTGTGATCATTTATGCCATTAATATCATACAGAATAAAGTTTTATAAGAATTCATTTCACATATACCGTAACGCAAGTGAGGGGCGATTGCCATGAATTGTACGGCTATTATATCCGTAACGGTGTATATGAAGAGTCGGTTTAAATGCTGTTTTGTTTTGTTTGTCACATATTTTGAGTGCAAAACACATTTGAATTGATTTTCAAGTGATTTATAAATCAAAATTGTACGGCTATTATATCCGTAACGGTGTATATGAAGAGTCGGTTTAAATGCTGTTTTGTTTTGTTTGTCACATATTTTGAGTGCAAAACACATTTGAATTGATTTTCAAGTGATTTATAAATCAAATCTAATCTTCAAATGGATTCCTCCGACGACAACAGCCCACCACCGAAGGGGAGGCCCGCGAGGGGCAGAGGGCGGGGAAGGGGTCGACCCCCTGGAAGACCCCCTAAGAAGACGACCGCAAAGAAGAGACCGGAGAAGAGCAGCAAAAAGCAGACGATTGACGACAAGAGCGACGACATCGCCGCTGATATCACTGGCCATCAGTCGGTCGACAGTCACTCGCGGATCAAGTCTGAGACCATTGAGTGTATGTCTTCAGTGTATCACTTGTTTGACGTCTAGTCATAAGACTTGTTATGAATTGGTGTGTAATTTGTTTGTCTTCTTCTTGGGAACCGATGACCGCAACAGTTGACGAGAATCTGGACACCGAGTCGTTGACCACTCACGCCATCGCATCGTTCGTGAGTCCGGGCGCTCAGCCGTTGCACAGAAACGAAGCGCTGAACTGGAAATATAAGGTTAATCTGATCGGAGAGAAAGTGGTTAACCCGCGGATCCATTGCTGCGACAAATGTCTGCTTCCGATTCTGGTCTACGGAAGAATGGTTTGTATTGTTTTCATT